TTAGAGTGAATACAATTTGAAATGGTTAAGTTTATTTATTTTTTTTACAGATAGGGTTCAAATAACAGTACGATTTCAGCTTTTTGGCTTGCCCACAAGCTGTTGCTGCCTCATAATTCAGTAGAGTGTTTCACAATAATCATATGTACATTAATAACTTCATATATTTACTGGATTTTGGTAATTGCTGCATATGACAAAAACATTAATGTGTTCTGCTACTCCTATTTTAATTTCTTCAATGTGTTGGGAGTCCCTGCGTATGCGCAATGTGAACGTGTACAGGAGATGGGAGACGACGTAAAAAAATATATGTATTTATATATAAATATAATTAATATAAATTTATATATATATTATATATAAATTTCCCCAATCCCTCTATGTGCCCTAATAATTCTAGACCAATAGGTGGCGGAAGGTTGGTTTAAACAAAACATCACCAGAAGAAGACAACGAACTGAACTTCAGAGTCAGATCGTGTTTGAAATGTGGCCGCAAGATTAGGTAAGTTTTTGGTGATCTACTTATAAACTATATTGTCACAGTGTGTGCTATCGTTTTTGAGGAAAAGAAAAGGCAGATTTTATTAGTTTTTACTGACGAGCATTACTGTAACCGTCAGTTAGCGTACTAGCTAGCCAGTGGCTTACAAGCTAGATTACAAACATCGATCTTCCTCTTTACTGCTAGTTATAACATGAAATAAACGTGAGTAAGCATCATGAAGTATGTTGAGCGATACATTACAACTTAATAAAATTTACCATGTCTTATGTAATCCGCTTTTCAGTATTTAATGTTTCAACAAATGTCATGAAAACAAGTTTTTTTTTCACAACCAGCGTTTAAATGTTTATATTTCAGAAAATTCTTTGGAGTAGAAACTTAATTTAAAATAGTTTTTAAATGTGCGTCAATGCCCAGCACTAATTATAACCATTTTCTTTTCGTATTCTATGTGCTCTTTTTTGGGGACTTGTTTCCACATAGTACATGCTTATTCACATAGGTGCGCTTAATGTAAAATCATACTTTGCAGTTTTGTGAAACCCTGCACAGAATAAGTAGATATTCATTATATTTTATGCTGAATGATTGTGCTTTGAATGATATTAAATATTTTTTTAATAATTGTACAGACATCTGACGTCAATGGGCGATGAACAGCAGTTCTCCACGGCCTTCCACTCTTCCTTGAAATGGACCTTGCTGATTTTTACAAGACAAGTTTTGTAAGTAATTTTGTCTGTTATATTCTGGTTATTTAGTGTAATGCAGACAATTCTTGAGACCTGGCAAGAAAAAATCAGGACACAGAAACAATATAAGATAGAAAGGAATAAACGAAGATGAATGAAGGTCTTGGTTTGGAACGACATGATGATGAGTAATTAATGACAGAATTTTCATTTTTGGGTGAACCCTTTTTAAAGAAGAGTAAGAAACAAATTTTTTTAACACTTTACAAATGTCAAAGCAGCATTTTCAGAATAGATTATTGTATAGCTGGCATACTGTTCAGTTTGTCTTGTCTTTTTGTACAACAGATTGAATGTCTGTTTTATTTTATTTCTGGGATCCATTGCTATGCTCAGTTTGAAAAGGCCTTTATATCTAAACATAATACACAGATATTAATTTGTTTGCTAATGTTTAACCTTAATATGTACTCTTAAAATGTAATAACTTATTTTTGTCATATTGTACTCCTGTTTCTAGGACTATGATGAGTTTTATTTTATTTCTGGGATCCATTGCTATGCTCAGTTTGAAAAGGCCTTTATATCTAAACATAATACACAGATATTAATTTGTTTGCTAATGTTTAACCTTAATATGTACTCTTAAAATGTAATAACTTATTTTTGTCATATTGTACTCCTGTTTCTAGGACTATGATGAAGAAGAGATGTCAGTCGGCCTATTGAGCGTGATCCCTGAGCTGAGGACTCTAGAGCCATACCTAACTCACTGCTTTTAATGCCATGTCTACTGCAATCATTTTTGAAAGTACAATTGTATTGGATGATCTGTAAAATCCTGCCCAAGACATATGCCTGCTCTTTGGACTCATTTATGATATGAAATTATAGTATCCTCCAGTACTGAAGGACACCTTTGATTTAATTCAATGGCTGAACCTAGCATGCAATCTCTGAAAAATCTTCTGATGTAGAAAGATGTCATTGTGGCGTTAGGGTTATAAGTTCATGATTGATCATTATTGATTTAGAAAAAGGTAATTCTAAAAAATGGTAAATCTAGATTTACAAGGTGTCATAAAAGGGATGTTGATGTTTGTTTTGTTTCTATTTATTTCCTGAGTGCAGTATGTGCAATTTTTCTTACAGTGTTAAATTGTTGATTTGATAGCATGCCTAAAAATAATGACTTGAAGTAACATTGTTTTATTAAACAAATAAATGCCCTATTGTTGTGCTAACAATCTGTTTTCTGTCTTTGTATTAACAACTTTAAGTTTTGAGTACAGCTTACTTGAGAAATTTAAGGCAATCAGTTTCCACACATTTGTCTAGTAATGTGAACAAAGCAGACTTGTTAAGAGAACTGTTTTGATTGAGTTCTGTGCACTAAGCTTAACTTACATCTCTAAGTTGGCTGAACTTGTCAAATTGAGTTACCAACATTCACATTTTCTGGTAACCTATACATATACACAAGTTACCTATACAAAGTTACGGTCAGTTTAATTAACTCAAAAATGATAAACTAATTTGCTTGAGAAATTTGAGGCACTCAGTTTCCACAGGTTTTACAAGTAAGTTCAACTCATTATTTTTTAAGGAGAAATAGTTCAACAAATTATAGTTTACCAGTAAATGTAAATCTTGAAGGGATGAGTTTAGGAGAGAAGGGGAGGGTGGGCTCGAGAACCTGAAACAAACAGAGCTGTGAAGTTTGGATCAGTATACAGTAAATGCGTAGACAGAATAATCTGATTGGTTGAGGTATGGCCTTACTCCCAAACTTTAGCTAAATTGTTAACTTCATTGTTAAAGAAAACATGCAACAACACCCTTTTTTATTCAAATGAAATCAAATCATTGATCAAGTGTTGATCAACTGTATACAGAGCCCAAATTAAATACAGAGACACATCCATTACATGAAGGCTGTATGGGAAAATGTATATTCTCTAAGTGCGTACAGTAACACTTTAGTATAGGGACCAATTCTCACTATTAACTAGCTGCTTATTAGCATGCCTATTATTAACATATTGGCTATATATTAGTGCTTGTAAAGCACATATTCTGCATGACCATATTCTACATCCCTAATCTTACCTAATACCTAAGCTAACATCTACCATACTAACTATTAATAAACAGCAAATTAGGAGTTTATTGAGGCAAAAGTCGTAGTTAATGGGTTGTAACTGTAATAGTGAGAATTGAACCTTAAAATAAACTGTGAAAGTACATACTTCTTTTGAGTAAGTAATTATTTTAAAAGTGCTAAGAATGCATTATATATAGTATGAATGTGTGTAGTATGAATTTAATCCTTAAGTTCTTCATTTGTCATGTGACCTGGGCAAGTCGTGGCCTAATGGTTAGAGAGTTGGACTCGTAACCCAAAGGCTGCGGGTTCGAGTCTTGTACCGGCAGGGATTGTTGGTTGGGGGAGTGAATGTACAGCGCTCTCTCCCACCTTCAATACCACGACTGAGGTGCCCTTGAGCAAGGCACCGAACCCCCAACTGCTCCCCGGGCGCCGCAGCAATAATGGCTGCCCACTGCTCCGGGTGTGTGTTCACTGCTGTGTGTGTGTACTTTGGATGGGTTAAATGCAGAGCACTAATTCCAAGTATGGGTCACCATAGTTGGCCACATGTCACGTCACTTTCACTTCACCTATCAGCATCAGTTCTCTCGCTTCACTTCATAAAACCTTTCCTTTGGCCACATGGGATAGTACAGTGCAATACACCATAAGTTCTAGGTCACCTGGGAACTTTTTGCTTACTGTTTAATAAATGCTGAATTTGGACATACTGCTCTTTTGACATACAGTAAGTATGCACATTTTGAATGCAGCTGAAACCTCTTTGGTTAATGCATGTCATCTGACTTTAACATAACATAACATAACATTATGATGTCATTACACAAGGACCAATGAGGTTTGGTATTATTGGCGTGTCACTATATTTAATATTGGCTGTGCATTTGTATTTTGTGTTTGGAACTCTTTTAAATGCCTTTTTTGGAACATGGTCATGCTTTTAAAATGAAATGAGACATCGGTGAGGTCAGGCACTGATGTTACGTGATGGTCCCCGGCTCGCTGCTTCAGTTTATCCCAAATGTCTTTAAAAGTCTGATCTTTCAATGTTGCCTAAAAAAAAATTATATGAAGTTTACTACAATATTAAGTGCCTGAAATGTGAGCTACAGGGCTGTTGTGTATAAATCACCAGATATTAAATATTCTGCATACAGTATAATTCAAGAAGGTCATTACTTGCCATTAAGGTAGAGGTGACACATTACAAGTGTAATGACCACTGAACTCATTTGTCCTACAGCGTTATTCCATCTTCTCACTGCAATCACGTTGAACTGATAGCAGCTCCAGCGATATGTTTTCCAAATAGCCTGACATGTTCATTTGAGTACAATTACTTACACCAGTCAGGTCTGCTGCAGACATTTGTCACAGAGGCATTCGCATTACCGGATTAATTCCTCGCAGTTTGCCTGACATGTATTTTCCCTCCCCGTTCCCTCACTGTGGCACCATTGTAAGCTCTGGACCCTGCAGAAGAGATGAGGCTTCAGGTCTTTTGCCCCTGCAGGTCTCTGTCTTCCTCTGGTCCTGCAAAACAACTGCTGTGGGCTTCTGGATCCTCCCAGTGGCACCTGACGGATCGATCTGGCTCCGGATGCCCTGCCTTTGGTTGGTTAAACTAGTGTGTGCCCTTTAGCTATTATGGCAATAGCTTCTTAATGAACCTCGCCCTGTAGGGGGAAGAGATTAATAGTATTGGCGACTGTGCATTACTTCAGCCTGCTCTCACAGAGCTGATACCATTCTTAAACTCAGAACACGCAGAAGAGTTTAAGGGAAGGTTGAGTGCTCACATTCTAATCATCTGGACAAATGCACTGCTGCAGGCCAAGGGTCTAATAGGGAAAGTTGCAGGCTATTAGTGCCAAGAGAGAGGGTTTTAGATAAGCAGTTTGCACTAGAAGGTGCCATGGAGTGACCGTCCCAACTTGGATCAGCGCCACAATGTCCCTTCAATCAGCACCCTGTAGGCAGGTTAATGATGGGAAAGGAGGGCCGTCATAATGAACATTGCTGGCAGTGATGAGGAGCAATGCACAATGGCGTCCTTGTAGGTCTAGAGAGGGAGAAACCAGGGTACAAAGCTCTCGGACCTGCACCCCGGAGATGGGAAAATGCATTGTGACTGAATTGAAAAATAGTAGTTTGAGAAAGTACAACCATGCCATATGGCAAATTAACTTACTTTTTAAAATTAACTTACTAAATAATAAAAAAAATTAATAATTAATAATTAAATAAATGCATAAACAAATGATTAACTAAAAAAAAAATTTTTTATAATAATAATAATAAGGTCACACAAGGTCAGTAGTCCTTAAGAGCAAGCAGTAAGTGATTGAACATGGAGAATCTAAAATGAATTATGAAATGAGTCTAAAATAATTTCAATATTTACTTTGTTTGATGAAGTCATGGTGTTGGTTACTGTTTACTTTGCTTTTATCCATGCATGACTGGACTTGATTTTCTGAGCATAACTTCTGTTCTTTCACAGAAATCATTCAAGAGTCGCTGAGCATGGGAAAGGAACTGAGTGCATATCTCTGTGAAAGCAGTGGTTAATCAAAGGACTTTTCCAGGAAGGTTTGATCAATCTTTCCAATGTAGCATTAAATGATTATAGTAGAAATACAATCACATGCAATGTTGCAGTGTCAGTAGTTTACTACAAGCCAAACAGCAATGGCAAATCTGTGCCAAATGAAACACGCTGTCATTAACCAATAGTGAAAGTCTTGTGAAAGCTTAGGGATAACTAGCAACTTATCAGTTAGTTAGCTGGTTGCTCTTCATTAAATTGTATATTCCAATGTGTCTATTCAGCATATGGACATAGATGAAATGCTTTTGAGCTCATATGTAGACATTCTCAAGAGGACTTGAAAGCAGCAGGAGAAGGAAAGGAAATAATTAGAGATGTCTGATCTTTGCCGTCTGACATCTGTGTAACATTCAACATCGATCTGAGGCAGCTTCACTGAACACATCAGACTGTGTCTGCGTTTATATCGGCTGTGTTTAATTCTGATGATGTAATAGTTTTAGATGGGTTTGTTGACTTTGCTGTTGTCTGAACAAACATAATTGTAAGCTGGCAGTCTGACTTTTGTGTCATACTGCACTGATAGAGCAGCTGAAATAAAGCACCTTGGACATTTTATCTGACAGTTAAACATAAAAACAATAACTGTGTTTTTTTATGTCTGTCAACTCAGGGCAAACAAAAGTGCACACTTACTGTAGCTCTTCTCTGTCAGCAGTGGTATCACAAATTAAGCTTTAGTTTCTTTGGTATTGTCCAGCTAATACACATGCATGTTCAAGAGTAAACAAACATGCAATGCCTCAGTCTCTTTTAAATGTGAGACTACAGCCACCAAATTCAGCATTTTCCTCTTTTATTGTATATGATAAGATGACCATACGTGCCATTTTCTGGGGACACGCTCTGGCCAGGATTTCTATATTGCCTAATATAACCAGGTTTTGGCTGTTTGCGCTGCACAGATCGATCTTTGTATGACATCTAAGTACTGTGAGGGTTATAGAGAGCAGAGCAGACGGCTCCTTATGTTTTCGAATCACTCTCGAAAGAGTCATGCAAAGTAAGAAAAAGAGAAGAACATGTTCAGAAATACAGTGATTTTCTAGAATATAAGATTGATAGGTAATACAGTTTGTTGATGAATTCATAAACAACACATTCAGATTGGACTTGCCTTTTATTACACACACTTTGTATCACATTTACAGCAGCTCAAACAGAGGCATGAAGGTGGAAAGAACAATGCACAGAAAGAAAGAGAAGAACATATACAGAAATACAATGATTTCCATGGTTAAAGGTTGATGCTGGAATCCAGCATCAGTTAATACAGTATTCATATAAACCCTTGAGATTTGACTTACGTTTTATTGCTGTCATTTGACATTTTTCACCAAGTTTGCCATTGTTACTGCTCAAACCATAACATGATGAAAATAATCAAGCAAAGAAAGAAACAGAGAAAAAACATTTTCAGAAATACACTAGATTTCCTCCTTCCCTTAATGTGCTTAAAATACACCTGCAGAACACACAATATCGGATACAATAATCCAGTTTGTTTACACTTATTTGAATTTTTAAGTACTGAATGAAATATAATATATATCTTGCCTTTTCCATTAACTGAGCTTGTTGCAATGCATTTTAGGATGCAGCTGAAATGAGGTGTCTTAGGAGGCAGCATCATTCAAATGCATGAGCTTGCCCACAGTACCAAAAAATTCTGCCTCTGCAGGCGGCGAACTCGTTTTTGGAACTTTCCGTTGCATTAATTGATTTTATTGATGTAGAGTATTGATGTACAACAGTACTGTTCAGGTATTAATGAATTTGATCTAATTGCTTAACACCTAATCACCTCTGATCTAAGAGCACAGAATAGCAATTGCACACATCAGTACAGAAGCTGAAACACTCTGGCCAGTCTTTTCAATGTACAGCTGCTTATCCTCATTGAGATTCAGAGATTCGCACGTCTCGGTCCAAGGTCTTGATTCTCATTTCAGAGCTGTTGTTTGATTTCATTCATACTTTTATGAACTCTGTGTAAAAAAAAAAGCAGTGCATATTAATATGTTAATTTACTAGACAGTTCTCTGGAATACTTGATTTGTTTAGTTGATCACTGCATTATCAAGTGTTTTTGCATAATGACACAAAACTGTATAATTTCTTGCAGTACCAGACAAGAAATAAAAAAATTGCTTCATGTGTCTTGTGCAACTCATTTTATCTTTGTGCATGATAAAAAATAATTAAGACCTAAATCAGAATTGCATGTCTTCATTAATTGATTTGTTTGGTAAGTAGCATTCATCAGCAGGATATTACATAGCCAGCTGACCATTATCACAAAATAATGTCAGTATTAGCTACATTTTAAATGAAATGTTTTTGCAACAATGACAGCATCATTTTCTCATTTCTTGGCACTTTCGCCAACTAGAATAAAAAGCCAGGCAAAATTGGTTCTTCTCTTAAAAGCCAGGCAAAAATAGTTCTTGTTTTTTTTTCTCAAGGAACTGTGGTTAATATTTAGCACCAAAAATGCACACTTAAAAAAAACCTTTATTTTTCTTGTCCTTTGCACATTGCGTCACATAAGGGTGTTGCTAGGTAACAAGAAAGTGAGGTGCACACAGTAAACACTGAACAAAGGAATTAGCTAACAAAATGTATTTCTATTGTATCTCTCAAAAAGAAAAAAAGAGATGCCGATGAGCCAACAAACAAGAGCTTATCTCGCTAGGCTCTCTTTTATCATGTTTTGATTTTTGTTTTGTGTAATGATTCATTCGAATTGACCAATAATGATTGACACTTCACTTGGCATGAGGACATTTTAATTGTTTAGTGTACAATGGATTTATGTATTTGTACCACAAAATATGTATTTTTTTTATCAGAAATAGTCACTCTTCATAACAGACCACATGACTGACACCTACACTGGTCATATTTAGTTAATTCTGCTGTTGTCATACTCTTATGCACATTTATATTGACCCATTATTTTATTGCCCTCAGCCTTCTTAAAAAAAACACACATTGTACCCAGACCTTGTCTTCCCCACCCTTACTCCTCCTCACCTGTTAGTGTTCATTCAGATTGCATTGGCATACTGATCTGCCTTTTTCACCCCATCAACAGACACCGGCACATACGTATAGATCAGTCTCAGCTTTGGATATAAGGCTTGTCTGAAATGAAGTGAGGTGGGCGACGGACCCTGAGCTGGTAATTCAGTTCCTCTCAGACCCCATCTGCCCGGGAGGCTGTTTCCATCAAGTGTGTGCTGGTGGCCCTAAAAGAGCTCTGGCGCTCTATCATAGAAGAGGTGAAAATGGAGTGAGAATGTTGTGGCAGAGCTAGTCTAATCTCAGACGCAGAGAAAGAGTGAAATAGACAGTAGTAATAGAACTGAGTGAGTCTTCGGCTGAGAGGAGAATGACTGAGAGAGAGTAAAACACTCTCAAGATTCACTGTATTTGACTTGTGAAAAAATTGGTTAATGGCTAGAAATATCCAGCATGAGGGAAAATGCTTTAAAAACATAACAGTTTTTAACATAATCAACAGTCTAATGTTTGTGACTAATGATATAATTCTACCATTACAATAAAGTGAAGAAATTAAGGGATGGGTCATACTTAATGCTGCTGGACAGTTGCTGTCTTTTTAATGATTTAATTACTTAAAGGATGGAATTCTAGCACAAAAAAGATCTAAATCCATAATGAAGGTGCAGCGCAATGACACATTTAGCTTTAGTTATGTTATTTGAAAAAAATAAATTAAATATATATATAATAGTAAAACATTATATAGAAAACTTCTGCGTGCAAATAAATACATAAATAAATAATTAATACATGAATGAAATACAGCAATTAAGGGGCCAAGCACAGCAGAGGCAGAATGAGGAGCAAGCATGGCAGCGGCCATAAAACCAACCATATCAATTAAAGTAATTAAAGACATTTTAAGATGATGTTTAGTAAAAATGGCAAAAAAAACCCCACAAAAATACAATTTATTTATAACTTTTAACCAGTAGGTGGCAGTTTTACCAATTGTGGTCTGGTCTGTGTGAGGTGATGATGACACACGTTAAGTTTGGTGAAAAAAATGTCAAAGCTTTGCAGCGATACAGCCTCAGATGCAATTTGTCACCATGCTATCAAATCAATTGATGTGGTAAACGAAAACCATTTTGCCTATTGACACAAAATCCAGACCTTTTTTGCTGCCATGGTCTGTAGATGATATGAATTGAATTTGGAGAAAATCGGACCAATGGCCTAGGAGGAGTTTTAAAAATTAGCGGACAGGAAGTTCGGTCGATTATGACTTAATTGGTGTCGATGTTCTCGGCATAATCCAAGGGATATAACAAGTCACATGAAAAGAGGCAAAACTGTTCATAAGCTATTAACATATTTTAAATGTGTGTTATTAATAGCTAATGGCTTCATATAAATGGTTTAGCACTTTTGACCAATAGGTGGTGCTGTTACCGAAATTGACGTGCCGTGGTCATGTGGTGCCGTGACAATGGCACACACAAAGTTTGATGCGAATATGTCAAAGCTTTGCAGAGATACAGCCTGATGGCCAGATGGAGTTTGGCATAACACCTAATCAATTGATGTGGTAAACGAAAACCATTTTGCCTATTGACACAAAATCCAGAACTTTTTTGCTGCCATGGTCTGAAGATGATATGAATTGAATTTGGAGAAAATCGGACCAATGGCCTAGGAGGAGTTTGAAAAATTAGCGGGCAGGAAGTTCGGTCGATTATGACTTAATTGGTGTCGATGTACTCGGCATAATCCAAGGGATATAACAAGTCACATGAAAAGAGGCAAAACTGTTCATAAGCTATTAACATATTTTAAATGTGTGTTATTAATGGCTAATGGCTTCATATAAATGGTTTAGCACTTTTGACCAATAGGTGGTGCTGTTACCGAAATTGACGTGCCGTGGTCATGTGGTGCCGTGACAATGGCACACACAAAGTTTGATGCGAATATGTCAAAGCTTTGCAGAGATACAGCCTGATGGCCAGATGGAGTTTGGCATAACACCTAATGCAAAATTCATAACTTTTTGCCAGCATTTCCTGAAGATGATCTGAGCCAAATTTGAATACAATTAGACATTTAAGATGAGTTCAAAAAAGTGGGTTTTTCTAATAATTCAAAATTGTGAAAAATCTCGACCCATGTAAATGTACATTTTGCTTTCCATTTGACTTGACGTGAGCCGATGAATCAGAGGAAACGTTAAAATTTTGCTTCTAAACATTATAGTTCAAACACTATTAGCAAACATATGAGTGACTATTTGTGACCCTGGACCACAAAACTTAAGTCGCTGGGGTATAGTTGTAGCAATAGCCAAAAATACATTGTATGGGTCAAAATTATTGATTTTTCTTTTATGCCAAAATCATTAGGACATTAAGTAAAGATCATGTTCCATAAATATATTTTGTAAATGTCCTGTAAATATATCAAAACTTCATTTTTGATTAGTAATATGCATTGCTAAGAACTTCATTTGGACAACTTTAAAGGCGATTTTCTCAATATTTAGATTTTTTTGCACCCTCAGATCCCATCTTTATGTCAGATGAGAACTGGTCCCCTGACTGAGACTGGTTTCTCCCAGGTTTCTTGTCTCCATTTCTCTCACTTGATTTGGGTTTGGGTTCCTTGGCTCTCTCACTTTTGGCTTACTTAGTTGGGGTTTAAAAAACACTATTGACACTGACACTATTTAATGGAAACAAAACTTTAACTGAAATGAGCTGGATAAAGACACTAATGTCTTCTGTAGAGCTTATTTGAATTTGTTTCATAATTGATTGACACAGTTGAACATTGACACAGTTACTAAACTGAAGTGAACCAACATAAAACTGATTTGAGCCAAATAACAACACTTCTGATGAATTTTACACAATTTCACTTGAGTCTCACTACAATATCTGTAAACGTACTCAGGTATGTCACATAACGTGCTTGCTTGGATGTTGCTGCTTACTTGCTCTATTCTCTTTCTATGTAATGCACCCAACTCAACTGAACAATGCACACTTCCTGTCAGAGAGGCAGAGAGGGGAAGTGACTTTCTCAGGGATAAGGCCATTTTGTTGATCTTGTGTTCCCTAATACCCACATGCCTTACTCAGCTCCCCACTCTATTCCATTACTGGCAAGTCTCTCTCCTTCTCTCACGGAGTGCTTGCCGAAAACCATCCATCACATCTGGCTCCCCTGAAGCAGTGTTGCTTTAGCTCCTGGTGGGAGAGGAGTTGTGTGATTGACAAGATTAACTATGAGTCTCTTTTCCACACACCCTGCTGAAGCACCATAGAGTGAAAGACAACTGGTCTCTAGTGTCTGTGTCTGTCTCTGTCGGCATCTCTCCTCTTGCGTAGGACACTAATAACGCAAGACTCTCTCTCCACGACTCACTGTAATTTAATAGCTGCTCTTGTGACATACACTATGAATGTTAGGCTAGATCAATGCTGCGACTACACCACAGACAGCATGTGTACCTCAGACCACAGCAAGTTTGATTCCCCTCAGACTACAAACCATTTATCATAAATTAATATTAATATTCCCCTCACAAAACAGCCTACTTGACAGCATCAAGTCTGGCTTTAAAAGCAGATACTCTACAGAGACCACCAAAATATTCTTTATGGAAACTCATTGGTTGGTAAAAGCAAACTCCAAAATAATTTGTCACTATTCAAGTGGACCTGTCTGCTGGCTTTGACCAGTGTTGGGGGTAACACATTACAAATAGCATGAGTTATGTAATCAGATTACTTTTTTCAAGCAACTAGTAAGGTAACAAATTACTGTTTAATTTACAAGAAAATATCTGTTACATTTTCAAATAAGTGACACCACTTATTTTACTTTATTTTTAGAAAGGAAAATTTAAAAGTGAAAAAACAAGTATTAGGGTGAATCAATAAATTATGAATAATTTATTGCCATTGTGTGCATATGTAATCATGTAATCCATAAAATAGTAACTGTAATCTGATTATTAACATTTTAAAATGTAACACTCTAATTACAAGTACTTATTTTTTTGAAATCAGATTACATGATCCAGATTACATGTACATTACATCAGTTACTACCCCAGCACTGCTCACAGGCAGATCTTTCAAGGTTTAATGGAATGGAGGGTGTCTGAGTTACATCAGCTAATCAAGGGGGTGCCTCAAGGTTCTGTGCTTGCCCCTCTTCTTTACTCTATATACAACCTCACTTGGAAAGATAATAAAGGCACTTGGTTTCTCTTACCACTGCTATGCAGATGATACACAGCTTTATCTGTCATTTAAAGCTGATGATCCCACTGTCTCAGCTCCTATCTCTGCCTACCTTTCAGATATCTCACTTTGGATGAAGAAGTGTTGTCTTCATATCAACCTTGCAAAGATGAATCTCCTTGTAATCTGTGAAAACCTACCGCTAACCACAACATCGAAGTTCAGATGGGGTCTACAACACTATCGCCAACCAAAAGCAACTGGGGGTAGGGTTTGATGGCCAACTGAGCTTTACCACCCATATATCAACAGCAGCCCGGTTGTGCAAGTTCAAGCTTTCAATAATCAGGAAAATCAGACCCTTTCTGCCAGAGTATGCTGGGGAGTTTCTCATCCAAGCCCTTGTCATTTTAAGTTTGGGCTACTGCAATGATCTACTGCATGTGTGCCAAAGTCAGTCCATGGAGCCCTATTGAAAAAACCCCCCCAGCATATACAGTTAGGTATGTGTTGAAGCATGGCAGCTGGTTTAAGCTGGTCCTGAGCTGGTCTAAACTGGTCATGTGCTGGTCCTAAGCAACTAGCTCCTGCTCAGGACCAGCTCGCTGTCCTACAGAGTGTAGCTTCAACACCGGCCTGGACGTTTCCAGTAATCCTGAAGACCTTGATTAGCTGGTTCAGGTGTGTTTAATTAGGGTAGGAGATAAACTCTGCAGGACAGTGGCCCTCCAGGAATTAAATTTGACACACCTGATGTCCGGTCTTCAGTTACCCAAAGACAGCCCTTCACCAGCTCACTTCATTGAACAATGTTCCTTCACATCAAGGAACAAAGTCACCCTGCAAAACCTTCACGCTCTGTGCTCCTCTCTGGTGGACATTTTGTCCCCATAACTTGGGGTTTACCAGGAACACACACACACACACAGACAGAGAGAGAGACAGACAGACAGACAGACAGAGATATTACTCTTTCTTTTCTGCATTTCAACTCTCTCTAGCTTGTTTCCTAATTTAGTTTTCTAATGAACCTGGCCTTTCATACTGTGAATATTAGCTTTCTGACAAATTGCTTTTGTTCCTCAATTGTAAGTCACCTTGGATAAAACCTTTTGTTAACTGCATAAATGTAAATGTTTATCTACAGGAGGTGTTTTTTGTTTTTGTTTTTTGTTTGCTAGGGCTTTCTATTCTGGTCAGCACAGTGGTCATGAAAAAGACAGTTTTGACCACTGAATATTGGATTTCTGTCTTTTTACACATTTACAAGGTGTAGCTCGAGAATTTAGCTCCATAATAGCTGATACATTTTCCTGAAATGTATATTGTTTACTTATTTTCATATTCATTCAACAAACTGACTCTGACACAATTATTTTTGCAGACTGTTCTGGCTGTTCCAGAGAAGAAACTTTAGTGACTGGACTTCTTTGAAATTTTAATTGGATATCTCTGCTCTGTGCTTTATCTCCTGCAATATTCTTCAAAACGAGAGGCAGAAGTGAGAAAAGGCAGTGGTGGCATACAAAATTAGAGATGTGCAGCAGAGCCTTGAGGAGCTAATACACACTGCCATGCACCCTTGCACCTGTGAAGATGCATCATATACCAGGCTTATAGGTGCTGTAAGATATTTATTATTTCACCTGATGCTGAAATGTGTGTCCTGAGAAATCACACCTGTCTCTGTGATAGCCCTGGACTGGTAAGCATGCTTGAGATTTTAAAATTAAAGACCAGCTCAACTGAATTTGAATTCACAAAGCAAATGGGACGCAGAGTTACAGTGCACTTCTTAATACTGAGAGCACTTTTTCCTAACTGTCGCAGCTTGACACAGCAGTTCCAAAATGAAATAAACCCACCAAAATGTTCATATATGTCTCAAAATCAATGTCAGTGCCCCTCACTATTTTGTACTAGGAAGTCCAATATGCAAAATGAAACTTAAGTCATGAAGCAATATTTACATTTTACAAAGACGTTTTTACATTACATACGTCCATACAAAATATCTGTATTATAACATACAATCTGGCACAGTTAGAATATTCAACAAAGCCTTTTTCATTTGGCCACAAGTGCTCATCTACATCACACCATATGTCCTTTCTGGTAAAACACCTGGAGAAAAGATCTCTTTTTCATGCCTGATCAGTTTCTGGCAATCTTGTGCAGATTGTCCA